TCAAACCACCATTTAAAGCTGCTTGCCTAACAATAATTATAGAGAGCGCGTGTTGGTGGGGATGTGATGCGTGATATAAAGATAATCACAAGCACCTGAGAAGTTTGAGGGTCCGCGTCCCGCTCGACCGCCTGAGGTGAGGCGCGAGAGCGGCTCAAGGAGGCGCACAGCCGCGCGCGCCACGCGGAGCTGCTGCTGCCGAAGCAAAGTCGAAGCCAGGCAGCTCTGAAGCGATGGGTATGGAGCTGGCGACCTCGCCTGCGGTCTCCCACTAATATTACATATATATACATATACATAATGATGTATATGACGTATTTTCCTAGTCCCCCAACCTACCCGTAAATACAGGCAACCACTCATACGCCGAGGGCAGTTCAGCGTGGCTTGTGGTTGGTGTGTTTGCGACCTATTCAGGACTTCGCATCATCCGGGTGGTGTCAAATGATTCTGCACGCCCAGCAAGTATAAGACGAGACATCAGGTAGATGGAACACTGCTCCACGTATGGCGAGCGCATGGGGCTCAAGTTCAGCCACGGCCTTTTGCAGTTCAAAGTTCTTCAAGAAGACCCAGCCAACAACCTTGGTCCAGCGCAGAGTACACATAGGGTTGTCTGCAAATATACTGTATTAGGATCCCGGTTTCCTTTTAGTTTCCCTTCAAGCCAAACCCACGAAGTGTACCCTCAAACATCGCACAACACGCCCACTCACACACACACAAACACACAAACACACAAACACACAAAAACACAAACACACAAACACACAAACACACAAACACACAAACACACAAACACACAAACACACAAGCACACAAACACACAAACACAGACACACAGACACACAGAAACACAGACACACAGACACACAGATTTCCTTTAAAGGTTTCCCCTGAAAACTAACCAACAAAAAGGCTTTCAATGCCCAAAAAAGGTTTTAGTGCCAAAAGCCAACCAACCAACCTCTAAAGGTTTTAATCCCAAAAAACGGCTGTATGGGGAACCCTGATTCGTCGCGTGCGCCAGATGCGTCAGCTTCTGCCGGCCGCCCGAGGCTTCAGCCAGGGCCCTATAATGGGCCTTAGCCGAAGGAACCCGTTTGGGCCTAAAGGGTCCCTCAAAGGATACATGGGTGTCTGTTTTTCAAGGGAAGCCAGCAGGAAGCCAACCATTGGGGGTGCCCCTATTTCGCGTCAATTCAGAGTTGGGAGGCCAGATACAAAAAGTCGCCCTTAAGCTGAATTAGGGGATTCCCTTGTAACGCAGGCGGTTTTTGGATGTATGTTGGAGGAAGCCTGCTAAAGCTGCGCAAAAGCGCGACCTTTCAACTAAGCCTTTTTTTGCTGTGAGCTCACTGATCCGGTACCCTGCCTGAGATGGTGAGGAATCCGGAACTCGGGCAGGTGGTCAGGGAGAGCAGCTGGACACAAGCCGAGTTGCTGCTTGCGGCATGCAAACCGCTTGAGATGATGTCATTCAGGTGCAAGGTGCCTGGATGTGCCAGGATGGCTGCCGAATGTGGCATCAGGATGAGCCATTTCCAGCCAGGTGATGTTCTGGAGTGTCCCGCCAATCAGAAATGGCATGACTGATGGTGGCCGCGCTCACGCCCTATAGCCCAAGTCTCACCGATCCTGCCATTTCGAGTTTCCGTGTAGTTGCTTGGAGATCTCATCAGGTTTTCGAAATTTGTGCAGCTGCCAATGTATGTTTTGTAGGCTTGGGTCCCATGGTTTGCGCAGTCCCAGGCGCGGTACCCCCTCGGCCCCACGGCAAGAGAGGGATTGCGCGTTTGTGTTGGCCGAAACTGGCAGTGATCATGATCTTCCCTAAGTTGGCTTATTCCCTGTTAATATACATCCTCTCTTGTACATGCCCTTGCACATCTGTATGATCAAGGCCTCGAGCCTACATACAGTAGAGCTACAGCTTGCCACCTGGAAACAACAGTGCCGCGCTGTCACACACAGGTCTTCAGGTATTTACAACATCAATCCAACTTTAACATGGTAGCGGAGCAGTGATCCCTGGTACACGATCCTACCACACTACCCAGGGTGAGCTCCAACACGCACTCACAGGTTGAGGTACACAGTAGTGAGTAACATGGCACAACAACAACAAGATCAGCAACCACAACAGCAGCAGCAAGAAGGAATCCACAAGTGCAAGATATCACCACCTCGCTTCAATGGCGAATACAACACCTTCGAAGAATGGAAGTACAAGATGACAGCATACCTGGGACTACAAGACCCAGACTACAACAGACTGCTTAGACAGTCAGAGCCATCAACAGGAGCAGTTACAAATGACCAACTTGAGAATGCAGCACCTTCACAACAAGTTGCAGAGCAATGGATACAACTGAGCAACAACTTGCACTACATCCTAGTGAGCACATGCGATGGACCAGCATCTACAATCCGCAGACAACACATGCAAGGCAACGGATTCGAAACATGGCGGCTTATACATGCAAGGTATTCCATACCTCTTGGTACAAGGAGCATTGGATACCTTACAAAGCTGCTCAAGCCACAACTCGATGAACAGAAGTTCGAAGAGAGCTTTACAACATGGGAGTTCCAACTCTCAAGGTACGAACAAGACAACAACGCACCACTACCAGATGCAATCAAAATCGCAGTGCTACTCAATGAAACAAAAGGACCACTACAGCAGCATTTGCAGCTACAAGCAGGAAACATCACAACATACGCACAGATCAGATCGATGGTGATCGAGTACTACAGAGCAACAGCGTCATTCACCAGACTACAGTCAATCACATCAGGCAGCAACAGCAATCAAGGACCGGCACCAATGGACATAGGAGCAACATGGTACAACAAAGGAAAAGGAAAGAAGGGCAAGCACAAAGGCAAAGGAAAACACAACAAAGGCAAAGGCTACGGCGGCTACGGCAACAACTTCGGATACAACAACTACAAAGGAGGAAACGGTAAGTACAATCAACAACCGGTTGGAACAAGGATACTCCAAAGGAAAAGGATACAACAACAAAGGAAAAAGAAAAGGATACTACAACAACCAACAAGGAGGAAAAGGATCAAAAGGAAAGCAAGCAACAAATGTTTGCTACAGATGTGGACAACCAGGACACATGGCCAAACAATGCAGAGTGGCGATCTACAACTGCGATACTGGCAACTTACACCAATGACCAGACAGATGGCTGGTACAGTCAGTCACACTATGACAACAACTGGTACCACCAGGATCAGACACACATGCAACAACTAGCATTACCACAGCCACCACAAATGGCGGATCCATTAGCAGTACCCATCTCAGGAATACAAGAAGTAACAATTGCCGTGATTGGCACAGCACAACAACACTCAGAAGACAACAAGTGGGTCAGTCTTATGATTGACAGCGGTGCGGCTACACATGTATGCCCACCATGGTTTGCACCACACTTTCCACTACACCAGCTTGCGCATGGGACAGGACCACAACTCAGAACAGTGACCAACCAGCACATCGAGCTTTATGGGTACAGATGGGTCTGCATGACAAATCACAGCGGACAACAAATTGTCATACCATTTTACGTTTGTGAGGTTAAACAGCCGATTCTTTCAGTTACAAGGCTGGTGGAACAAGGTTTCCAACTTACATTGGATGACAATCCAAAGCTACATCACACCAAAGGATTCAACAGCACGCTGGAGAGCAGGAATGGCCTGTTCTTCCTACAAGCAGAAATCACAGCGTTGCCAAAAGGAACAAAGCTACAGATACACAGCACGGACCAAGGACAGATCGGCATGATAGCACCGACCACAACACTGACACCACAAGGTCCTGCAGACACAGGCTATGCAGGAGATTACTGGCAGTTCAATACACAAGGTGAACTTGTCAGAGTACACAGGCAACACAGAAAGACACTCTTCACACCTTCGGGAGCACAGTGTCCAGTCCCAGCAGAACAACTTGAGGACTACAGGAAAACAACCATCAGACTCAAGGATGGTGCAACGAACACGTTTGAAGACAAGTATCAAACAATGGAAGCGCCAAACAAAGCACAACCACAAATGTGGAAAGGAGAGACAACATTCAGGATCAAGAAAGGCACAACATTGCCAGAGGCAATACAGCAACAGCTTGCAACAAAGACACGGCCAAAAAGTGCACCACAGAGGGTGACACCGCAAGTGATTCAGTACAAACCGCGCACGCGGCTTAGAGAGAAAACAACACCACCAACAGTTCAGGACACACCTGCGCCACACACCACCAAAGGCGCAGCTGGACAAGGACTTCCACATTCTTCAGAGGTACACCCTGGAGGAGACTACTGGTACAGAGAAGGCCCATACTGGAAGAGAGTACATGTTGAACCCAGAACAGCGTTTTACATACCAGAGCAGACACACGACGGGCCAGACATCAAGCGACTCTTACCTTGGAGACAGACCAAGGTACAACCAGTTGGAGGAGAAAGACAACACACAAGGTTGATAGAAGATGAATGGACAACACAGCCAGCAAAGACATCAGACAAGCCTTGGACAGGCTGGACAAACTTTGAGGAACATCAAGAGTTCCCAACACAGCTCGAGTCAGATGATGAAGAACAACAACAAGGCACAAGAGCAAAAGCAGTACAGGCGCCCAAGCAACCCGCACCACAGGAGATTTTGGAGCACAATGTTACACACCTCCCTTACAGGAATTGGTGTCCGATATGCGTACAATCAAGAGGCAGACAAAACAACCACCCAAAACAGCACAGCAAGCTTCCAATCATACAACTCGACTTCGGCTACATCAAAGGCTTCGATGACAACAAGGTACATCCAATCCTCACAGCAATTGACATCCAATCAGGGATGATCATGGCAATACAATTGACCGACAAAAGGATGCTCTTCGACTATGCAGTCACACAGCTACAGCACTTCCTCATTGAGTGTGGAAGAACAACACACACAATACTACAATCAGATCAGGAAGATTTCCTGACAGCACTCATTACCACAGTAACAAGCAAGAACGGCAACATCACAACCCGGAACTCAGGAGCATACAGTTCACAATCACAAGGAGGAGTAGAACGAGCACACAGAGCACTGTTTGCACAAATCAGAACACTCAAGGCACAGATCTAGCAAAACTACAACAGAGACATTCCAATGAAACATCCACTCATGCCTTGGATCGTTCGACACAGTGCATACATCATGAACAGGTACGCTTTGCACAGCAATGGATGCACAAGCTACTTCAACAGATGGAACAGAGAACAGCATACACCATTGTGCGAGTTTGGTGAGACAGTGCAATACATGCTACCAACAGTAAAACAATTTCCAAAACTAGAGCCAAGGTTCTACAACGGGATCTGGCTTGGCAAGGACACAACTACAGGCGAACCCCTCATTGGGATCTACAACAAGATTGTCAGAGCAAGGACAATCAGAAGGCAAATAATGCCTCACAAATACGACCAGCAACTATTGGACTCTGTACACACAGGTCCATGGAAGACACCAGCATCAGCACTGCCCACACCGACTCTCACACCACCAGTAACAATGCCATCAGCAAGCAAAACAATTACATCACAGAAGGATGCAGCAACAAGCACAGCAGCAGAGAACAAGAGACAAAGCACAGCACAGTCGAGCGAACAACAGCCAAAGCAGAAGAGGACAGCAGAGCCAACATCACCTATGGCTACATCACCGGCACATCAGAAACGACCATCATTGCCAGCACCACCGCACACATCACAGACAAGAGAAAGAGATGATACAATAGCAGAAGGCAGCACCGGCAAGCAACAACGCACCACAGCAGAGAGACAAACCCTTGAGCGGCCTACAACAGCAGAACAACCAAAAAGCAAGATGAGAATCAATGCCATCAAGTTCACAACAAAGGATGGTAAACAAATGGAGACAACCTCCAATGAAGACACACAAGAAATCGAAAATGAAAGGATCCTACTGGAGCCGATCACACATGACACAGAAGACCTGGATCCACAACTTGTAGCACAAGGCATGAAGAAGGAAGTACAACAAATGAAAGAACAATCAGTCTTCACAGAGATTGATGGCAACACAATGACACCAGAACAACAAGCGAACATCATTGAATCAAGATGGGTTCTAAAACCAAAACACAACGAAGTACGAGCACGCATAGTAGCAAAAGGCTACACAGAACCCGTTACAGACCACGACCCAGGAGATGTGAGTGTTGCATTTCTACACGCAGCAGCCATCACACACAATCTGGTAATGAGACCACCATACGAGGTTTACAACGAAGAGAACAGACGCATACTGTGGCGGCTAAACAAAGCAATCTACGGTCTTAGATCATCACCAAAACAATGGAAAGACCACATAGCACACGTTCTCACAGTCACACTCGAATTGGTGAGATGCACAACAGAAAGCAATGTCTACAGGTCAAAGGACTGCCTGGTCTACATTATGATCTATTTAGACGATCTCCTATTCATAGGAGTACAAAGCATCATCAACACACTGTTCAGCAGAATACAAAAGGAAGTTCTGCTTAGACACACAGGCGGCCTAACAGTTGGATCAACAATCCACTTCCTTGGCAGAAACATCTCACACAGAGGTGATCACATCGACATCAGTTTGAACAACAACTATGTTGACATCATCCTGGAAGAGTCAGGAATGACTACATGCAACCCAGCACCATCACCAGGGGTATCACACATGAAAGGTACAGCAGAAGACGAAGCACCACTTGACCACGAACAGCACAAACGATACAGGCGGCTTGTTGGCAAAAAACAATGGCTAGCATACACACGACCAGACATCAGCTATGGAGCAAAAGAGCTAGCAAGATCATTACACGCACCAACACAGTTTGACAACAAGAAGCTCAAGCACATGATCAGGTACCTTAGGGGCACAAGGTACATGCGACACAACTTGCGACCAAAGATACAAACACAGGACAAGCGAATACCACTCAACATTGACACACACACAGATGCCAATTGGGCATCATGTGAAACAACGAGAAAGAGCACAGCAGGATTTGTACTGTACTTCTTTGGAGCAGCAGTACATTATGGCAGCAGAACACAAGCCACAATAGCACTTTCATCAGCAGAATCAGAACTGTACGCGATTGGTACAGCAGCACAGGAAAGCCTCTACATCGGCAACTTCATAAAAGAAGCATTTGAGGTACGCATCAACATCAGGATACACACAGACAGCAGTGCAGCAAAATCAATATCAATGAGAGAAGGCACATCAAAGAAAGCAAAACACATCGAGCTACGACACCTCTTCATACAACAACTTGTCAAAAGCAAAATCATTTCAATGCACAAAGTGAGGTCTGAAGACAACCCATCAGACCTGCTGACAAAGTTTGTCAGCTGCGACACACTCAACAAGCGCCTGTACAACGTTGGCCTGTGAGGCCACACAACACCAGTTTCACACAGTTGCACAGTATGTTAAACAACAGTTGCACAGTTGACACACGTGTATGTTTCACAACTAAACCCGGCACACATGTTTTAGCTTTAGGTTAGGTACAGCCATGGACCTGCCCTGGAGATGATACAACCTTTCTGGCTTTGGGTACACAACTTTGAGTTCATCTTTGACCACATCTTTTACATCCTCGGGTACATTTTTACTGCATGAGGTTTCATACATGTTTCAGACAATGTCTTTGATACATGTCGCAGCCATTTTACATTTTGTGGAGACACACCCCTGTACATTGAAGGTGCACAATGGCGATGTCAGGACTCACAAGGATCGCTGAGTACATCCCGGCCACAGAGGTCACAGTGGCGAGGACATGGGATGCGATGAGCCTACATCTTTGGGCTACACTGAGGAGAACATCACCGGGAAACAGCCCTTGCGTTCATTGGATGGGACCCACATGGACACCATCCAGAACAAGACCAACATGATGTACATTGCAATGACATTTGAGGAGTTCACATCTTGGACAGGGAATGGTGAGCTGAAACACATCCATGGCTGGGCACGTTGCCCAGAAGTCGAGTACATCGTGCTGAACAGCTCCCCTTTCGAGGCTGTCACAACCCTTCTGAATTACATTTCTGTCGGGACATGCAGGACACAGCACCTTGACACCTTCATTGTGGCCACTGTACAGCTGGATGCGAGGCACATTGCCGAGTGGGCATCCCGCGGCTACATCAATTTCTTCAATAGGGGCTACAGTGCAGTACGCATGCAAATTCACATGAATAAGACATGGATGCAGACACAAGATGAGCTGTCTAAACATCAGGTTTTCAAATACACTGGCAACAATGGCCTGCTCGGGATCTACATGAAGTTCAACTGGAACACAGGGTACATCTGGTCCCACAACGCCTGCGTGAACCTCGAGCAACTCGCAAGAGATGAGGACACATGCCGCAGATATGCCACAGTGGCACAGGCATTGTCCTTGATGGGAGTTGGCAGCATCAAACATTTGCCACCGCACATCAGGTGACATTGGTGAGGCACATCTCGATGCAGAATGCAAACAGTCTCAACACACGTGGCACGATTGAGGGACAGGCAGTGCCAGGACATCCGGGCCACATTGACTACATCCTCGAGCAGCAGCATCTGTTTCACATGAACTACGCTGCGACCAAGGCACAGGTGTACAATGAGTACATTACAGGAGTGAAGCAGGGAGCCACACTGCTTACACAGTAATCGCCGATTTTTGGCACACCGGATTTGTGGACACAAGGTGTTGCTGATACACCTTGCTGACATCAGGTCACACTTGCAGTCTGTACAGCCGCTCGACACACTAGAGGAACCGTTGTACAAATTGAAACAGTCAGTAGAGCTGCTAACAATTTTACATCACCTCGACAAGCTAGAGCACAACTGTTTGTCTTGATGTCTAGGTACATCAATCCAAGGTGGGGTGTTAATATACATCCTCTCTTGTACATGCCCTTGCACATCTGTATGATCAAGGCCTTGAGCCTACATACAGTAGAGCTACAGCTTGCCACCTGGAAACAACAGTGCCGCGCTGTCACACACAGGTCTTCAGGTATTTACAACACCAATCCAACTTTAACATTCCCATATAGATACAAATACGTATACATTCACGCGTACACATACATCGACTAATGCACATAGATAAGGTAATTACAAGGCGGACAATTGGTTGAACACGTGTTCTCACCGACTTGGGATCTGCCAGCAGGTCCAACGTAGGAACCCCTTATCTCAGCGCCACTTGAGACAGAGGCCAGTGGGCCCACCAGTTTCAGCACGCCAAATCGACGTGTTCTTTTTTTTCGGGTACCCTTCAGGGATTGTTTTGAAGGAGGACCAACAACACATATGGCAAGCTTGGCTAGTTGCACCAATCTTTCCACAAACTTCTGAAGTTCTGGTAGGGAAATCTGCTTGATCAGCATTGGATGAAGGAGAAGCGTCACTCCAATAGAACCATGCGAAGGTCATGTTCCCTTACAGAAACAGCCTCCGATAGCGACTAGTCACTGGTCATCATTGGGTTGCTATGGCTTGCCTGGCTCTAAATTAGGGTAGTTCCCAGCCTGGCAAATGCGGTTGGTTGCAGCAGCAAAGTGAAGGGGATATGGGATGTGAACATCCTTGAATGATTTGAAACGAATCCTGGGCTTTTGGTTGCAGGCAACCAAACAAGGGAGCTCTACCACTCCGACGCAGTGTGCACTAGGGCATGTAAATCTGAAAGACAATGGGCTTGTTGACCAGCATCCATTCAGCGTTTCCCATGGGTTCATCGAGCATCCGCAACAGCTTCCATTCGCAACAGCTTCCAAATATGGGGCTCCGGACGTGGGCCTTCGCATGCTACAGGCCCAAGCAAAAACAAAGTCATGCAGGTTTCTACATGGACAAACGGGCCATGAGGTACGGGGATGTCTGCCGGCATGCCTCAGCCTTTGCTGCGAGCCAGGCAGCAGGAGTTTAGGACATAGGGTTCACAAGACTTCTTGGCATATGAGCTCACTGATTGGTTGGCAAGATGAACTTGGACGGGTGGTGACGGTTCCTTGGCTCCTTTTTGCCAGTGTGGGAATCATTTTGTTCTCTCTCCCCTTCCCCATGTTGAGCTGCTTGTAGCCCTGATGCGCTGGTCCGACACAGTTGCCAATGGGACCCTGAATTAAGATGCGAACATCTTGTGATGCATACTTTGGCCAGTGGAAGCGTACCTTCACGGCATACGGTGCGAAAGGTCAGCCTAGCCTTTTCAGGAAACAGCCACATCCCTACCGCCCAGAAAGGTTTGCTTGATGCTAAGAAGCCCACAGGGTTGAACTGTAGCAAAAGGAATCCAAAGGAACCCAAAGGAAAGGGTGTGCTTTATTTGTTCCCAGACCTCCCTTCCCATTTCACCCCCTATATGTTCCATGCCTGACATCAAGGGTCTTTGGTTCTGGAAGCCCGAACGGCTCTATGTCCCTTGGGGTCTCCTCCAATTCACACAAACAGACCAGGGACCACTTAATATGGAAGAGAGTCGGACAAATTTGTGTTTTTTGTGTACACCAGATGTGGGCCAATTGTTGGTGGTTTTAAACGGTCACCTTCCGAGAATCGAGTTCGCGGAGGTGATGTACTTGTTAACGGTGGTTGCACACTGGCAACATGGAGTTGTTGCCACTTGTTTCGGAAGGAAGTCGCTAGATCTGTTGGACACTCGTGGTTGAAGTTTTCATTCTTCGGATCATTCGCTCAATCCAGAAACATTGAGCACTTCGTGGATTTGACCAGTCGCCCATGTTTTGACAACAAGGCGCAAGGCGCACCCCGGTTTCATCGCTCAGGCTTCGTAACCTCCAATCGCTTCAAATGGCTCGAGCCGGTCGTAGCTACTTATCTCTCGACCCGGAACCGTGGCTTGGGCAGCCATGGGTGCAGCATGTGCAAAAGTCCAGGCGGAGGAGTTTGAGGCGGAGGTGTGCAACGTGGATGGAAATGACGAGCGCTTGGCGGATTCGTGTGGCCATAGGAGCACAGCTTCGCCAGTTTCCACGGAGGACACTGCTGGCAACTGTGGTTGAACGACCGGTCTTGGGTCTCCTTGTGCTAAGAACAGCACAGCGAGGTGGTGTTGGCAGATGTTGCTTTAACAACCACACCTTGGCATCCTTAAACAGAGAAAAACAACAACCTAAAGGAAACAATGGTATTTGGCAATCTAGTAGTTGTTTAAACCCACGCTGCTTAAGCACAACATATTTGAACATATTCAGAGGGGCTGTTACTCGCACCCACCCTCAGCTCATGTACCAACTAAACACACCCTAAACCACCAAAACAAACCTTCAATGTTCATAATGATGTGTGTCATTTCCCCCTATTGGTGGTTTTAGAGGAATCTGTCACTGGAAGTATGTGTATTTTTGTTCCAGGGTCCGAAGCAAAGGCAGGACCCCCAGATGCTGAAAGCCCTAAACAACCCGAAACAGGAGGATGCTGATGGCCACGCCGTGGTGAAGACCATGTCTCGCATGTCGATCTCCTCTCACCTTAGCACCCAGTCCTTGGCGGTAAATTACGAGGAGGTGAAGCCGGAGAAGGCGCAACCCAGACACCCAGGGCGCTGCCAGGTGGCTTCCCTACTGTGGATGGACGAAATACATTTCGCACCACTTGCAAACCATGGGAACCCATTGTTCATTGGTATTTACAGGGGAATCATCATTCCAGGGTTTCTTGGGTGGTGCGAAATGGATTTCGTCCATCCACAGTAAGACTCTGCAGAGCTGCCGTGGGAAAAGCATCACGGGCGCTTTTTTTTGTTAGGCCCATCTTGGGGTCTGGGAAGTAGTTACCCAGGCTTTGTTTTTAAAGGGGATCAGGTTAACCCCAGAGTGAAAGAAGGAGGTGCTTGCCGTGGAAGATCAGGTTCATCAGAATATAACCTAAGGCCCTAAGGTATGCGGGTAGTGTCATTTCCACTTTTTAGGTTTGAACACTTCCAGTGGATATCCATTGAGAATGGACATCGGCGACTCGCTAAATGTCCTGCGAAAAACTAGGCAGACTCACTCAGTTTCCCATGTCCTTTTGGCTCATGTCAACATCAGGGTACCCCAACTTTATGTCGGCTGTCATTTTGGCTTCCCTGAGCCAGCTTCCTGTAGAATGTGCTGGACTTAAACATCTCCCGGGTGCAACTTACCCAAAAGTTCCAAACGCGAACCGGGAAAATGGGGAAAAGCATTTTTCTGGATGGATAATGGACACCTTGCAAATTTGCGAAAGGGACCTGAAAGTGAACGGTTGACTTTTTGCAACCACCCAGCAAGGTCTCAGTTCAGCCGGAGGCAACCAGTCCCATACAAAACAGGACACACTGTTCGGTGCTCGCCGTCCCTTGGTCATGAAACATGCAAGGGACCCTCTGGGCCACTGGATGTCGACGAGAAGACATCCATGGCGGCTTGTTTTGTTGCGGCGGCAGACCCTTCCCAAATGAGCGCATATGTTTGAAACACCCTTTCCAGGTTTGCAAACCCTGGAATGTCCTGCCGGTTTCCCCGTTTGGGCAGCTGAAAAGCGCGAGGTGCTTTGCACCACCGTGAAGAGCAGGGTCTCGCTGGCGTCCTGGCAGGGCCAACAGGTCGCAAACAAGCAGCTACAGGCCGAGAGTCGGATTGAGGTCATGACAATGACAACGGTTTTTTCAAGGCGCAGCCTCACTGGACAACCCCCTCTCCCCCTCTCCCCAAAAAACAAAACACAAAAGAATTTGAACAACCCCTCAAAAGCAACAACGAAATAAGAAGAGTTGGGGTGATTTCAGGTTCACCCCTTTGGGTGGAGCTAAAGCTGGTTGCCTGATGGGATCAAAACGGGAGATGGCGGGAAACCTGCGTTCGTTTTTATGCGAATGCGAAGCCAAGTTAAGAAGGAAAGTCTGGCACACGGTGATCACTGGAAAAACCCTTTCTGTGATACTGTTAAGTGGTGGATTTTCATCCTTTTGACCTTGTGACTGCTTAATGTCACTTCGGGATTGTTACAGGGGTATCAGAGAAAGTGGCAACTTGGCCTGGATATCCCATACATGCCTCACATGACACATTTCCACAGACCCGACCAAAGCCCAAATAATATCACACAAAGATAGATTAGGGCCCACTTTCCTCTCAATTGCCCGTGTGGAACGAAATTCTAATGGTACTGATTCAATGCCTGAAAGGCGGCCTTGTCAGGTACAAGCGCAAACTGGAGGCACTAGAGGGGAATTGACGGAAGCCCCAGCCACTCTGCTTGCAGGTTCACGAGAGCATGGACGATTCGAGGGCAGAGCTCCTGCATGAGGTTCAAATTCTGAGCTCTTTGGAGCATCCTTGCTTGGTGAGGCTGGCTCGGGTTTTTGTTGCATTCTGCCATAGTCTGCGGAAGCTATGACGAGCTCACTGGTTCGAGGTCAGAAAGTGGTCAGCATGGTGGCCCTGGAGGATCCCTTGCTTAGCCTTCTGCTGAGTTCAACGACGCCTCAAATCCAATTCAGTGGGTTCGGGGCCCAAGAATGGTCGACACCAACAAGAAACGCTTCTGGTGGTCCCTGCCTACCCTCAGGGATGGGCACCGCCGATTTCTCCGCTTCCCTTTGGTTTTTTTTGGACATCTGAAAAGTAACATCCGTAGAGGCCAGCTAGGTAACAACCCTGGTTCCCACTGTTTGCAACAATCCGGCTTGCAACCCCTCAGGGCCCCTTGGTAGCCGTTGAGGAAGGCTTTGGGCTAAAGGGTACCTCTTTAGGCTTCCAGGGAACCCGGCTGGCAATCGTCTCCTTGAAGACCTTTGAGCCTGGCTCGGATCCTTCCATAGGTTTGAGTATGTAGTTGTATTTCCCCTGTTAGTATCTATATCGAAGCTAGACATGTATATATATATATATATATATATACATGTATGATATGTGTTGTGTTGTGTGCTTTAAATCAATTTTCCCCATGGGACTGCAAGAAAGTTGGTCCACGTCTTCCTTTCGTCTTCCTTTCAAAGGGTTTCTGGGGAGCAAGCCTTTGCCATGTTTGAAGTAATGTTCTCTCGGACATGATACTTGTTCGTCGAGAACAGGTTGAGAGTGGCGTAGGGAGTACGACGGATCCGGTTGCCATGAACCCGTAAGGAGAACCGAATGTGGCGTGCTTCTCAAGCTGGTTGGATTTACCTCGGTTTCTCTTTAGCAAGTCAAAACGACCGCAATATATAGAGACGCTCCCCAATGGGGAGGTTTGAACAACCGCTATCAAACCCCCTTCGTTGGATTGAAATGACATGTTTATGCTTGGTAAGTATTACGTTCTCGAGTGACAGGACAAACCGCCAAGTTGAAATTGATGGTACCCACCTTGGAATGGCATAAAAGAGGACCACCGGGAAACTGTACATGTCTTGTTGGGGCGGTTCCACAACGCAGACAGAAGCACATTCCAAGCATCCAGACGTTCTTTGCCCTTAGACTGGTTTAAAGGGAAACCGGCAGGAATTGTCCCATCCATTGGGTACCTCTATTTTGATACACCCATGTCGTGGACGCCTGTTTCCACCTGGGATCCAGTCGGCTACCAGGCTGATGGGTGCCAACGTGAATGATACTTCGCCCACAGGGCCCTTCATGCTCACAGAGTTCATGGAACCTGACCAGAATTTCATTTTTGGTATATACCTGTACCCTCAAAGTACCAGTAACAAAAACACAATGGCTCAACATCAGGAGGCGATGTTCATTTGTTCAGAGTAGTTTGAGGGTCCAGGTACTCTTTTCAAGTTTGGTTGAATCGAAGCGAAGCCAAAAGGAAAGTCAACTTAACTTGTTGAGCAGTTTTGTTTGGGTTTGATTGAAATTAATCCTTGCACTTCTGCAGGTTAACATGGAACCCAAACAAAGCCCTCTGTTTAGCGCAATCCCCTGTGGCAGAATCCCTTGG